GATGTTGAATTGAACTTTCAACATGTCCTATAACATTTTCTAAGGCTGTAGCAGGAGAAGGCAAGGCAAACTTTAATCCTTTATTGAGTAAACTAATTTCGGCATTATCAAAAACTTGAGATGACAGATTCTCTACAATGTGTTCGACTTTCTTAGGAAGTGGTTTGGAGAATATACCTAACTTACGTAACTTCTTTTTATGAATGTTCACCTTTTTATGAAATTTACAATCTATAGATAAAAACATCTTCCTTTGAAAATCGCTCCATTTTTTGAATTCTTTTTCACTTAAATTATAAGTTAAAGATTTAAATAAATTATACGCCTCTATTTCAAGTAGACTACGTTTTGAGTACAAGAAATCCAATTCTAAATCTAGCCACTTACGCTTAGCAAAAGTGGTTATTTTTTCAATAACTTTACAGTTCTTTGAAACTTTAATATTCATAAACTCTGGGAAAAGAGAGTTACGTTTACAGGTTTTTAAGAATTGGATATCTGCACCAATTAATCTAATCTTACAACTAAGTTTGTGATACCTGTTTAAATCCGATGACCGGGAAGCCATGACGAAATATGAAGATTGGAAAAACTTTGGCGGTTGTTGTAGAACAAACAGAATAGCTCAAAACCCCAACGCCAAAACACGACACTGTAGTTGTCCGAAGCACTTTTCGGTAACAAAGTTACCTTCTTCAGGGACTGAAGTAAAGTTTACTTCAGTCCCTGTTACCGAAAAGTGCTTCGGACAACTACAGTGTCGTGTTTTGGCGTTGGGGTTTTGAGCTATTCTGTTTGTTCTACTTTATGCTAGATTTTCACAAAACAATTCAAGACATGTATGATTTCAAAAAAATATAATTTATTACCTTGTTTGCTATTTGGTCTAACACAGCTGGTAACAATCGAATTAAACAATGCCTGTTGTCTTAATATTACAAGGATTTGCGACACATGTCCTGGATGGGTAAACGGGATACTATTCACCAGAATGCCATCCATATTCTTGTTTTCAGTCATGAAATAGCAGTGATGTTGGTCAGGTAAAGTCTGCAAAGAAATGTGAAAGCTTAACTTTGACTTTATCATCTAAATATCTATCAGTAGCGTTTCTTACTACGAAAAGCCCCCTATTATTGGCTGTATCCATTTTTCCATCGCTGTGATGGGTAACTATCAGGCTGAGCAAAGGATGAGTTACTGAGGTGTCAGCACACTCGAGTTCAGTGAGTTGCTGTAGTTGCTTCACTAGAGCCACACACATGGGCATTGGTTTGTTCAATTTAAGGATGAAACAAGCGGGTATTACAGCACTGTTTTGGGGCGACAAGGCGGCAAATGATGGAGTACTGTGCAGAACAAAAGTACTTCAACTAGAACATTTTCCAAAACTGAACAATGCAAATCTTACCTTTTCCCATTTATATTTCTGTTAACTGTGATAAGAGAGGTGGTTTGAAGTTTATGTGTTGCAGACCCTTCCATGCACACTGTGACGCTGTACCCTAATTTTTTACTTATTATCATCTCAACTGCCATTGGTTCCAATTCTTCTCTTTCAATATTCAACAGGTCGTATGGAGACACAAAATATGTCAACTTCATAGGATGCCCTCCTCTACGTTTCTCTAAAATTCCAACTGGTGACTTATGCACCAAATTAAAGGGTTCTTTCATAAATGTCTGAAGTTGAGCTAAAGTGCTTAAGTCTGTCTCTAAAGACTGCAATGCAGTGAAGGCTTTGGACTTTATTTTCTTTTCAGCGTTCAACTGATAAATTGAAGCAAAACCTTCAAGTTGGGCAGTGAAATCATCAAAGTCTTGCCTTGAAAGACAATTGAGTAGTTCAGAACAGCTCTGTTCCATTTTACCTTCATGATGTACTTTAACATCTCGAACAGCACCGCTCTGATCTAAAATCACTTCTAAATAAAACATATCAGATGATATGAATAGCTCCACAGCAGACGGGCCAACCATGAACTTTAATCTAAACAAATCACATTACAAGCATGTAGAATTATTAATATAGTATGTGTTTTACAAACCCCAACTGTCTCGTTAAGCTCTCCAGCCTTTCAACCATACTTTGCAAAGATGTTACCTTAATGCAATGCTGTAGTGTGTCCAAACATTTCTGATGTTGACTTTTTTCAACACTGTCTAAGGCGTACCGCTTATCCTACGAACAATTACGTATGAAAATGATGAAAATCTCCGTTAGAACAATATAACCTACAAGCATTGCCATTCGGACATTTTTCGAAATTTCCGGGAAGCTTTTGCATTGCGATGATTTCGAACGCAATTTTTCCATTAGCAGCTCCATTTGCCAGTCTTTTGTTTTATCTGTTGCTGAAGAAGGCATCGTTAATATAATACACTTTCGTTTACTATCGTTTTATCAATGTGCACTGCTATTTCGAGGTTGTAATATCATAAATTACTTAAACGAGTCCAGATAAAAGTTACCGTGAGTATACTTAATCAAAACTTTTAATTGGAATCAAATAAAACATTTTTAAAAATAATTCACATATTTTATTTAACGCTAATTCTAGGAAATTTCTCAAAAAGAAAGTAAACACACCACCGCTGTCATGTTTGGTACATATGTATTTCTGACAGTTTTACAACTTGCCATATACTTTCAAAACAACAACAATATTAAAGTTTTTAATTCAATAAAACGGAATAGTTACCAAAAAAGTAAACAATTCATACTGTTTACCAGTTTTCTAAATTAAATTAACGGTTTTATTGGACGCAAACATTAAAATTTCACATTTTGTTATTGAATAACAAATAATAACATTGAATATTTAAAAAAAAAAATAATTCCTTTAAATGTGAGTTCTTTGGCAACGCCGTACGATAACGAAATTTTAATGACCGCCGTCTGGTGCTGCCATCTCACTATCATTTTGTACAACATCGCCCTATTAAATTTTTACCAGTGGCGGCTCGTAGAGACGTAGATATGGGTGCAAACAAAATTATTAGCAAAACATAACAGTATATGCAATATTGTATAGCTAACTTATTTTGCACAATATAAACTAAAATACATTATATAAATAAAATATATGTGAAAAGAAAAAAAATAAATAGTCCAGTGTTTTACCACTACGTTCAACAGGAGAAATCGTTGTAGACGATTTTTTAATGATTTTCTATTTGCTAGTTTCATTGCACTTAAAAAGAGTAAAAATTTTAAGTCCC